ATCCGCTTTGAGGTCCTGTATGCTATATCATATTACATTTAGTGTGGTCATCATGTTTGATCTTTTCCATTCCAGTACAAACTGAGGTTAGTTGCTTCAGACAACTTGAACGAGAACCACACAACAGTGGTCATCCACATTAAAGATGTCAACGATAACCCGCCCATGTTCGACAGGCCTACCTACGAGACGCAAATCACAGAAGAAGACGACCGAAACCTGCCGAAGCGCGTCCTTCAGGTTCATGAACCATACGATCACTAGTCGTTGTGTTTTCGTTGTCTTTTAGGTGGAATGCTGGCACTTATTTTTGATGGGGTATTTCATCAGCAGCCTAAATTAAAATGAACTTTTCTTACAAGATTTTTTTCTTTAAAACTTGTAAAATTTTTTTATTAAACTTCTGTAGCTTTAATTGGCTAACCTTATCATGCTCTAACAAATTGCTGTCATTACAACTTCAAGTGTCTAACTCAATTTCCGTAATACGCTAAAAGTAAAACTTAGTTAAGGGGTTTACAAATAAAGTTCCTTATTGTGTTCTAACAAATTGTTGTTACAACTTCAAGTGTTTAACTTAATTTCCGTAATACGCGAAAAGTAAAACTTAGTTAAGGGGTTTTCAAATAAAGTTCCTTATCGCGCTCTAGCGAATTGCTGTTACAACTTCAAGTGTCTAAATTAATTTCAGTAATACGCGAAAAGTAAAACTTAGTTAAGGGGTTTTCAAATATTTTTTTTCCTCCCTTATTACTTGAAGGATTTTAAAGTAACGCAACGATTTAAAACGATAGGAGTACAACTTAGATTTCGCGTAACAAGAATCACCTCTATTTGGTTTCCTTCGCCACAGTTTAGCTATTAACAGGAAACAAGGTAATTAACTCCTATGTTTATTAAGCCACGTCTCAAAGCAGCACGACTCAAAGCAGAATTTACAGCTTTCTTGGATGTCTGCAAAACATGCTGCACAAAATATTGTTTTCACTCGCTGTTTAACATTAGTTTAATTTTCATTCTAATGAAGGTTGACGGAAAAATAGAAGGAATAGAAAATAATTTATATAAACTATCAGATTAAAAAATTTTCAAACTATATTTAAATCTATCTACCTTTACTTCACTGTTCCTGTGTTATTTAGTTAACTCTATCTACAGACTTTTAACTTTAAAATGGACATAGGAAACAAAATACCTGCTTCCCAATACTCTTTTAAGGGGAATCATAACCTTAAAACCCATAAGATCTTCGAATATGTGACTACTGCAAGAACTGGGATAACTTAATTATTTTTAAAAAAATTACTTCCAACTTTTTACAGCTGACTACATAATATAACTCCTTTCTGAAATAGTAATCAGAAAGTTTGTGTTGCCACAAATATTTTTATAATTTAATCCGCTTTGTGACCAAATGTTTCGTCGTGTTTACACCTTGCGCGCACAGTTTAAAACATTCTGTTGCATAATTTAATTCCATATTTAATATATAGCTTTTATAACATTTGGAAACTACTGTGAACCAGAAATTCTAAGAATTCCATGCTAAATTTTTATTTTATTTGGAGTTGAGTTTATAAAATGTATTTTATTAAAAAAATCAGTAATGTTTTCTTGCATAAAATTTTTTAACATTAAAATATTCATCAGATTTTTGGGTCAATTAGAAAATAGTGCCTATATAAAGAATTCCATCAAATTTCAAGTCTGTACCATTAGCCATCTTTAAAATATCATGCGCGCAAGGCGGAAACAGGACTAAAAATTTTGTCACAAAGCGGATTAAATTACAAAAATATTTGTGGCAACACAAACCTTCTGGCTACTAGTTTCCAAAGTAGCTATATTATGTTTTTACAGCTGACTAGCTGTAAAAAGTTTGTAGTAATCGCTTTTAAAATAAATAAAATATCCCAATTCTTGCAACAGTCACGTATTCGAAGATCATAAGAGATTTAAGCTGTATGAGCCCCCTTAATGATGTACTCTATAATTAAAATGAAATAATCATTATGAAGTATTTAAACAGCTACTATTTATTGAACACGTGAACATGTTTCTTATATGAATACACTACTAAAACATACTAGTAGATAATATATTATTAATCGTGAAATTGATTGCGTCTATCTCAATCATAAATGATGTTGTTAATCAAAACTATAATCGATATTTTTTCCTTGATTATGCTAAAGGCATTCATAATTGAACTATTTGCAGTCATCCGGTTTCACGAGTTTTGTTACGTTCTTTGAATATTGATTTAATTTTAAACATTAGAAGTCTTCTTTTTCTCGGAACTTACCACAATGAACGGATAATAAATTTCTTGGGATGCAATCGCATCCAATTTTTTAAGAAATGAACTGCTTACAAACTATACTGAAGATGCTAAATACTTTAGCAGCAATTCTAAATATGCAAAAATAATCTTTTATATTTTTCGTGAAATCTCATTTTATAAGCTTTTTATATTTCCTTATTTTCTACCGAAAGTCACAAAAGGGAATAAATATGAAAAGCTATTTATAACCCACTTCTCCATAGAAATTACAAATTCATTTTCTTCCTTCCTTTAGTGCTGAAATGATTCGCAAGACTGTAAAGGTTCAGTTACCGGAAATGGTTATTTATTATGTATTTTTTATATCGGCTGTTAAAAGTCAAGACAAAAAAAGACTCGCAGTTTTTTATTGTTAATGCATGCTGAAATAGAATTAGGAAGATTTCTTTATTTATTATTGGCTTACTATAGACCTCATTCATGAATAAACGTATTACTTTTAATTAAGAAGCATTGAAAAGAATTCTTTTTCTAGTAGTATTGAAAGAAGCAGAATGTTTTCTCCCTTTGAAAATGCGTGCTATCATAGAATTGAAATTCTTTTCTTCTTTTTGTCCTAGTGATTTTTTGAGTTAGTGTATTAATTGCACTACTTTTGTCCTCACAGCTAAAAGAACTACGCACCTTTTATCCTCATAGCTAACAGTTTTTTTTCAAGGAAAAAAAGCCTTCCTTTCTTCGTTTTGTCGCGACCTTAGAATTATGGAATATTTCAATACTCTGTTTTTTTTCGTTTCTTTCGATAACTTAACAAATGATAGCTAAATAAAATAACAACAAACGAAATCTTGTATATTAATAACGTTCTCATGTTAGCAAAATATCGAGATGTAGTGACATTAAAATTTTATAATACATAAAATTCTCTAATACATTAAAATTATCATAATTACTCATTAATTCTTATAGTTACACAAAATTGTCATAAATTACACATATACCTTTCCTTTAACAATTTTAATCTTTATGCTGCGTAAATGCAATTTTACAGTTATCTAAACTATATCTATCGAAATGTTACACATACGACTGTCTCAATTCCTGACGGATAATAGAAATTGACTGTTAAAAGAGGAATGGATAATCGGGCTCCTATTGCATATAGATTATTCAGTCTAAATTTCTACAGTATCTAAAATCTATGTTTCTTTATGAAGAACATTATATCTATGATTGATCTATATTCGACAAGGTTACGTTAAATGTTTATTTCAATAAGTACAGTTAATTAGTTAATTAATTAACATACGAAAAATTCTACAAGTCAAAGGATATGGCTTAATGCGCCATTTCCATCTAACATCTAACTTTTTACTTTAGATGAGGGCGCTGCTATCGCCGTATGACATCATATTTCTCTACAATTCCAAGACAAAAGTTAAATAACTATTATTGCTTTTAGTTTTATTTGTATTTTTTCAAAGTTATAACTGTTTCTAAAATTTATTATAGAGACAGAGCTTTGTTGAAAGTGCAAAGTCTAAGACTTTTTTAAAAGGAATAATATTTTTAGCGATTAAATACAAATGCAGTTTTTAATAAATATGCCATTTCAGTCATGTTAAATCAAAGTAAATCGTATAAAATGTAACTTTGTCTTTTTTATAAACGGCATTAAACCAAAATTGAGTACTTAAAAAAGAAGAAGAAAAATTAAAAATAACAACATAAAAACAAAGAAAATATTTGCTGATTTTTTAAATTTCTTTGAGCAACAACGCCTGTGAATATCGTTTCTTTACAGACTCATGCTGAATGCAGACGAAGTTAATTACAGTTTCTAAAATAAGTAATCTTTTCGCGCTTCAGTTTCTTTTTCATGTTTTCACAAATTTCAAAAGTTAATCTGAGAACATTTACATTTAATTAAGAATAATATAATAAACCTAGTTTATCATTCTTCTTTCTTTTTAGAAGATAATATATAATTCCTTCGTTTACTAAGGATTAATTTTCTAACAAACGATTTGTTTGGAACTTAAATAATACGAGACAATTATGAACGAAATATACATCTTTTAATACATTTTTCGTTAAATATATTTACTGAAAAATCTTTCAAAATGTCTTCCTATCTCATTTCACTTTTAAAATCATTAAAAACATCTGATGCTAGGAAATATTCTGACATATAATTAATTATACTTAAAATGTAGCTTCATATGTTTATCAGATAACATGGGTTCCTGGAAAAAAATTCATAATCTTTTGGATTTCGATAAAAAATAAAGTGATATGCATTTAGTAGTTGACTTTTTCCTTTGTTTGATTTGGCTTTTCTGAGGGAATTAAATCAAACATTCTTAAGATTTTTCTGGAAGAAATGTTATTTGGAAACAACAAACTAATGACGTTCATTTTAATCAACGCTGCTGATGAAAACGATGATCAAATAACATTTATATTTTAGTTCTCTCTTTTTATAGTTCCTGTGAATGCATCTGTCCCTGTTGGAGCACAAATTTGAAATTGTTTACTTATACGTTGAGTTGAATGAATCCAGCACTGACGCATGACATTTAAATTACGTTTTCGAACTCCATTTATTTGCCTAATTTTGTTTGAGTTTGTATTAGTGAGAAGAATTTGTTTGATTTTGCATGTTTGCATGAGATTTGTTTTTATTTTTTGTCTTCTTCCCCTTTTCCCTGTCCAGTACAACCTCACGCTCGTAGCTTCTGACGGGAAGTGCGAATCGGGTACATTAGTAATCGTAAGGATAAAAGATGTCAACGATTTGCCACCTAAGTTTGATCAACCTACCTACATTACCACCATTTTAGAAGAAGATGCAGAAGGAATGCCCAAAAGTGTCTTGAAGGTAGCTATGTTATGAGCATGCATTACACAAAAGAAAACTACTGTCTTTTCAACTAGAAATGCGGATTTTTATTCTGTGAGAAACAGAAAAGTATTTAATTTAAAAAACTGAAGAGTTTATTTTTTCATAACAATAATCAATAATGCTTCATTTTAAGATATTAGGGTTTTTTTTAATACTACAATTTATGAGATAAAAATGGCAACTTGTTTAAAAGAAGAAAAAGGATAAAAAGGCATTTTGTTTCTTAAATTTAAAAGCTGCTTTATCTGAAGCTGTAAATAATGCACTTTTAACATTGTTAACGTGTTTTATTGGTAAGTATTAAATTATATTTTGGTTGAATGGCAAAAAATTATGTCTCATTGTAAAGCATTAAAAGTGAAGATAAGCAACTTAAATATATTTTTTACAATTAGAATGATATCTTTTCTTGAAACATTAAAAGAGGGTTGAAGATATATATAAATATTTAGTGAAATATTAGTTTCTCGAAATACTGAAAGAATCTGAAATTTTTACGTGAAACTATTATCAAATAATCATAAAATTTTTCCTTCTTCCCCCTCCTCCCAAAAAAGCATGCAGTTAAGTATTAAAAATATTTGGTCATGAAACGTTAGTGTTAGTTGTATTATTTATTTGAAGCTTACTAGTCATAAAGCTTTAGTGCTATATTTTAATCAAAGAGAAATATTTCATTTTTATAAGCGTTTTTCCATTTTAAAATATCATAGAACTACTTAAAGATTAAAAAGATCATTTGATTCTGAAACTTTGACACTGTATTTTCAAGTAGAAAGAAAAAACATTTGCTTTAAAATTGCAAAACGGTTTTCAGCTGTAAAATATTCACAATATATTTTCAAATGATTATAATAAGGTATAAGGTATTTTCTGCCTCCTTTCTGCATGCTTTCGTGGTGTAACGGTAGCACACTTGGCACGTATTGAAGAGGTTCGGGTTCGGGTTCCGACGAAGGCATTGCTCATTGCAGCGTGTAATGTTGTTTTCTCTGTACATACATAGCTTTCCATCTATAACTTTCGTAGTGGATGAATTTAAATGAACATTAAGTAAAATAAGGAAATAAAGCAATAATATCTCTGCTTATTTCTAACAGCAGGATTAATTTGATAACATCTGATCCAGACGGTTCTTTCCGTTTTTTACAGTTCTTTTCCGTGCTTCAACATCAATCCTAGAGTTATTATGGACTGTACTCATCAAACGTATATCCTTCTTGTCTTTTCAATTCACAAACTAATTTTTTCTCTTTTTCTGCTGAGTAGACGTTGAAGATCTCTCACTGTACTTCTATCTTATGTAAAATGGCGCGAATATTCATTAGACCCCGGGGGTGAAATTCAAGTAGAAATAGAATTCTTGATTAGTACTGCCCTCTAGGAGATATTAGAACAAACAAAAATAAAAACTCTTAACAAATAAACATTTAGAAACCGCTTTAAAAGTTTTAAAATGTAGAAGAACGCTTGAAGCGCGTTACGGCCGCCCTGTAGAAGTTTCACTTGAACGCGCTAGACGCGTATAGGAAATTATAACAGAGAAGATATATATATTCGGCTAGGGGAATGCTCATTTCTCATGTCTCCGGGGTAAAAAAAAAAAAAAAAAAAAAAAAAAAAAAAAAAAAAAAAAACTTTATGACTCTACATGGTAAATATTAAAACCATGACCCAAGAAAGAAAAATGCTCATATTTGAAATTCGAAAAAAGCAAATATTGAACCTGTCTATTATAAACTAAAAGGCCAATTTTATTTAAAAAAAGCATAACATAAAATATTAAAAGAGCGTTTTGTTATAAAATATTGATCTTAAAAGGTAAAATGGTACCTCGCTTTAAGGAAGTAAACTGTGATTGAGTTTTTTAAGTCTTTTAAAGAATAGTTGTTATCACAGTATCAATTTATTTTCCAGTATTAAAATTTCTGAAGTAATATGTGATATTTTAAATGATATTTGAAACTGAATATTAGCTGCAGAAGTATTCGAAGAAACAGTTAAAGTTTTAAAATAGAAAAGAATATCAAAATATTAAATAATTTTATTCTTTTGTTTCATTTCGCAATAACATAAAAACATTCAAAACATTAAGAAGATAAAGCATTAAATTGTACTGTATACGCTGAAATGCAGAAATATTCATCTTCTATATAATAAAACTACATTTTCATGTAATTAAATCAATATTTCAGCAAGAAATGTTTGAAGTTATTTTTAACAGAAAATTCAACACTTCTTTAAAATTTCTGGAAATATTTTTTTTTAATATTGAAAGAAGTTTTCTCATTCATACGAAATGTATTTTTTATATGCTAAAAGCATGCGTTGCTTTAATACCTTTAAATTACATATTTTTCACCTTAAATTTAGATTTTTCTATGTCGCATTAAAATTACTTTTCAACGAATAAGGATATAAGAATAACTTAATTTTTAGACTTTGAGACGGTTCTTTATTTGAATGTATTTAAAGGTTTTTCTTTTAAGACTTAAAGCGAACATTTTATAGTACTGTAAGTTCTTTTCATTCTTAATATTCTTAATTAGTAAAAAGACAACTTTAATAAGTTAAAAGAAGTACGTTTATTTTTAGAAACTTTTTTTTAATGTAGGTGTGTCCAGGTAATTCTATGAAACGATTTCTTTCATTTTGAAGTATCGCAGAAGCGTTCCATTATGCCCCTTATCTCTAAGTATATATTAGCCCTTTTCTTTTTAAAATTTAAAAGCATTCCACATTTAGTGTTTTTTAAAGGTAAGAACATTATGTCTGAAACTAAAAGAAAAATTACACTGTGCATATAAAACACAAAAGTAATGATTTTTTTAGAAATCTTAAAGATCAGAAATTTAATTCCAAATGCTTCCTACTGATTTCAAAGTAATTCTTTTATCTTCATCTGTTTTGAACAACTTGTTAATTTTTTTTATTAGGGAAATTGTAGAGTTAGTAGGTGTTTTTGAAAGCAGGAGACATGAAAAATGAGCAACACCTTCGCCGCGAATCGAAACATGGACCTCTGGAAAACTCGCCCAGCGTGCAGACCACCACACTACGAAAGCATGCTAAGAAGGCGGGAGAAATACGTTATAATATTGTTACGAGTGCAGTAGCTAAAGGAAAATGTTCGCAGGATTATGGGAAAATGATAAACGGGATCATTTCGGATGAGGACGTTGCAGGAGAAGGATCAGTCTGTTTACTAAGTTAGAATGAGCTGATGTGCATTACTTGTATAGTGATGAGGACCAGACGCAAGGCCACCGCAGTCCCCCGACCTGACTCCCCTGGATTTTTCCTGTGGGGATGCATGAAGTTCCATGATATAAGAGACGACCGTAACATTGGACATGGATCTCGTGGATCATGGAAGCGGTGGGTCCGTAAATCCATGCGCCGAGATTGTGAAGTATACATTGCGTGAAATGGAAGGAATTTTGAACATCGTCTGTGATTTAACAGTGTTCTCTGAGCGCCACGGGCCGCTTTATCCGGTCATGCGATTTTTTGTTCCTTGGCATACACTAGCTTATAATTTAATATATTTTGCTAATTTACTTTCATTAATACTATAAATATCCTCTTGATGAATGTAAGTTCATGAAAACAGAGACTATAATATATAAATATATACAAATTTAGCTAATAAAGGCTGTTTAGATATAGGTCTTCATGTCAGATCCAAAAGCCCAGGCTGCTTAGAGGGTTAATAAAAATCATATTAACACCTCTTTAAGCTTATTTTCTTTCTTCCCCTCTACGCATGCGAACTTTGCCCTCTAGCGGTCATCGTCTGCATTTTCGGACACAAGTTCCTATATAAATCTTATGTGTCATGGTATGAGAACCTGTATGTTGAGTTTGGCAACGACCTTTTGAGACACCCTGTGTAGGCTTGGCTTTTATCTTAATCTCAAATCAATGTTTAGCCATTAAAAAATAATTCCTTTCTAATTAAAAATAGACTAAACTACGTAGTTAAGTAAGTCCAAGGAAAAAAGCAAGATTCTATGCTTAGTTTTAGGACCTATGTAAAGAAAGGTTTATTTAATTTAGAAGTCAAAAAACAAAAATCAGCGTTATATTTTCAAATTTTCTTAGGACTAGTTTCGTTAGTTTTACCGAAACATCATCCTCAGCTGAAAAGCGCAAATGAACTAGATAAGATATAGCGATTAGATAGGATGAGATAAGATAGACTGGACAGGAGTTAAGCTACTGGCGCCATTTGTTGATGAAACAAGAACTAAAACATAATGTCCTTAAAGGCTGAAGGCAAAGATGGATTTGAATTAGGATCCTTAACTAGAATAGAAAGATTTTTTATGTGATTTTTTTAAATCTGAATTGGAATTATGGTCGTTAACTAGAATAGAAAGATTTTTTTTGAATCAATGTGAAATTTAAATTTTTGTTGTTTGACTTCTAAACTAATACTTGTTCAGCGTGTTGTTGTATCTTATTTAAAGATTTATTTATTTTATTTTAAATACAAATGGTGTATGTTTTTAAACAATACGTTTTCAGCAGTCATATCGTAGCTATAAATGTGCTGTGTAAAGTAGAAATATTCTCTTTCTAACTGCGGGATATTTGATTAAATAAAGTACTATAAGCGTGCCAAATCTACTCGTGTACATTACACTAAAGGAACACTTAGATTTCAGAAATAAGACAATCCAGTTACTTAGGACTTCCGATTAATCGTATAAATTGTGGTCCCACGTAGTATGGTTAACTGAGTGTTTAGTTGTATTTTAATTCTAGTTTGCAATAGTCCATAATAATAACATGTATAGTTCGTATTTCAGTGTAATTCATGCTGTAGTTATCATTCGTGTATATGTCTTACTAGCATTTCTTACATTATTCCAGAATGAAAATATAATAAATCATATTATTTTTACTTTAGATATTTAGGGGAGCAGATATATAATATTAAAAATATGGCAAAACTGTTTTGCTTTAATTTA